CACAGCAAAAACAAAAAGCCAGCTAGGAGACAGTAGGAATTGCAGCATTGTACTCAGTGTTTCTGCAAACCCTTCTTTGGCCCTTAAACACAGCAGCACTAGGAGTCAGTTCAACACTGTGAGGAATCTGGGGCAGACACACCTCGTTGARCATGCCATTTTGTTTTCTCATTTTAGTCTGTGAGGCCGTAGAGGCAGCTGGAGCACATCTTCCTTCTGTTGAACATCTTCTTTCCTTCCAGCCTCTCTCCTCCTGCAGGCAGGGAGCACTGGCTCCTGCAGCTGCTTGCTCAGAGCTGTCAGCACAGAACCTGCTGCCCTTGGGCTTCCCAGCTGGGCTGACAGGACCTGGCTGTGATCCAAGCRGGGCGATGTCTCCAGACCCTTTCTGTCTCCAACACAGGAGCAGTGAACTTTGTTCCAGCTTTTCCTGGCCTGCTCCCAAACGGAGTCAGAAGCCATCTTTGTGAATTGCTTTCAGATGAGAGGATTGAGTAGTTCCAAACRCATTTGAAAATAACAGTATAACCATTGGTATTATAAAACAGAAAGATATTAGATGTGAAAAATGCAATATCTTGCTGCAAAGCCCATGAAAAGAACCCTTTGGTCTTTTCAAAGTGTAACACTTATGTAGAAAGCCTAAAGTTATCCACTGTGGCCAAAGCTGAAGCTATACTTGAACAATTATGTCTTATGATTCTACTTTCTTAGAGTTGCTCTTTCTGATGCTGATGGTGAATCTGTAGTTTCATCTGCAATTGGAAACATGAGGTCATGGGGACCAAGRTAGGTGGGGCAACCTTATTTAGAATGGGACAGCCCATGAACTTTGGTGAAAATTACCTTAATGTCTGTTTGTCATTGCTCTGAGGCAGAGCACCACCTTAATATCCATCTTCCCTGGTGAACCCATATATGAGGGAGAATCTGCTGGTCAMGAAACTCCTTGTACAAGTTAGACAGTCAATTTAGATAGCTGATTAACCAGTTAAGTACCTGACTAGAGTTGACCAATTAGTGGTTAATGTAAGGTTCTGTCAGATTTAATTGAACTCTAGTAAGCCTAATGACAATTATGAGCTTGCAATCACTGTGATAATTTTCCCCCTGCATTGCTGCAAGAACCCAGTCAGAGGAAATGTAATAATTTAGGATTATTATGTAAGGCTGTCTCCTTGCCACAGGACAGTGCTTCAAGCGCTGCTGTGAATTGGGGCAATGCTATTCCCAATGTCTGGTGAGATTTGTGATTAAGTAATCATTGATTTTTGGGGGGAAACTTTTGTAGCACTCTCACTAGTTTCATATTGCCTGTCAATTCATTGCCCACTGAAGTGCAGAGTGTTGCAGACAGCCAAATAAACAGAAAACAAGCACAGAGGTTAAAGCTGGTGACCAGTGTGAGAWGTGTGAGCAGAAGGTTCAAAGCTCATTTTCCAGGTTGTTTACAGCCCTGGCTTGGTGCTTGGTAAAAAAGAAATTTTCTTTTGGGGTAGTCTGTGCTTAGGTATGAGCTTATTTATGCACATTTTGGATGCTTCTGCGACACCAATAGTCTGAGTCATGGTGCAGATGTCAAATATTTTACTGAGAAGCAGGAAGGCATATGTCCTCTCTGGATGTCATCTGAGWGATGCCTGGAAGGCATGTCTGGCAGGCTTACACCATGATCATCGCACATTGACATACTCACTGTAGCTTGTAATTGGTGAGAGACAGCATAAGGYCTTGTGAATTTTGATTTTCCCAAAAGAAATATTGCTAATGAATTAAGATTGATTTTTGCAATTAGAGTCATTGGAACCTCAGTGTTTTTTTGTGGTTTTTTTCCCCTTTTTCCATCTAGTCAAATTACCTTTGGTCTTTACAGATGCATTCCTATATATTTTAGAAGAATGTTGAGTCAAATAGGCTACCTCTATCTATGATTGCAAGATATTTCTAATAAGGCACCTGACACATTTCCACATTTGTTGCATCMGCTATTACTGACATACCTACTTGTTTATTACTCTTCTTGAAAAAGCAAGAATGAAGGGAGACTAATGAAACTATGAACACCTACATTTACAGTTCAGTTGGTATATCAGAATAAAAAAGCCCTCAGAACTTCATTTAGAAACCTTTTAACCTGTGGTTTAGAAACCACATTTGACAWATTGTGTTCAATTCAGACTGAAATTAAATCAGCTGGTTCAGCTACCTCTAARAAAAGCCAAAGAAATATCGATATGGTTTATAAACTGATAATGTACATCCATCCTCTTTGCTTTTATTCAGTACATCCATTGCAGTTTAGCCTTCAGAAAATGAGAGATTCAACTTTGTTTTATTGTTTGTGAAGCCATCTGAAGTGGAGAGGATTTTCTGTGTTTTATTTTCTCTCTTTGTTTATTCCACTTTTCAGTTTTAGCAAGTTGAGCATCCATTGCAGCAGACTGCAATCCTGTTGCATGCCTTCATGTGGGTGCCTTAATCTATGGGCTGGAGGATTTTCCTCTCCTGTTCCTAGAATTTATCTTTTGCAAGTGGAGAGTTTTAGGAAGAGGGCTGAAATCCCACACCCACCTTTGCRGGGTGACATCCCTCTTCAAATTCAATGTCCATCTGGGTCAGGACAAGGATGCACACGTGTCTCCAGACTGTGCCACAGCACTGTGAGTGCTGTGAAATGGGCCACRTCTTCTCCTGCTGCAGCTATTCCAGCTAGGAATCACCCTCCTGATGGTGTGAATTGAAGGGCTGTCTCTTCCTAACCTCTCAGTGACTGGCAGAGCTCCTGAGCTCCAGTGTAGCTTTCGTGGGCTGGGAAACTCTTCTGTTGGCAGAGCTGGCTGCCCTTCTGAGCACACCCCAGGGCTGCTGTGGTGTCACCACTGCCACCACACTGACCACACTGACACTGCCACCTCCACTTTCCAGAGGGAAAGTGAGGCACTGCCCATCAGGGGTGCACTCTGCAGGGGCTTCTYGAGGGGCAGGGGGCTATGATTCCCAGAAATAGCCCCTCCATCCAATAAGGTGGAGATTGGCTCAGTTTGAGTGGCCACATTTATCCAGCTCCTTCTCCTAGTTYATCTGACTATTTAAAAAGGAGGGTAGTTTTCTCACAGTGCACCTGCACAAAATTCAAAAGAATAAACAGRTTTTGCCCTTCTGAAATGTTAGTTTTGAAACAGCTGCATACACTGGAGTGGATATAAAAATCCTAACACATTTCATCGAGTAACTAATCTCACTCAGGTTGGGTTTACTTAGGAGAAACAAACTCAGGTTAAGTGTCTAAGAGTTATTTCTGCAGTCAATGTTGATTTTTTAAATATGTTTCATTACAGAGGGAACAATAAATTATACTCTTAACTAGAATGACACAGAAGTCAATGCTGCTTTTGAACACTGGGTTCTGGCTCAAAGATTTCTTATCCAGTTTTTGGAAACGAAACAAAAGATTTAGTTAAAGTCACCAAGAAGGATTAGCTGCAATCCATTTCAGCTCCTTTGGCACRAAGCACACAGGAGGAAACGCTGCCTTGCCAGTTAACTAATGCTTCTTCTCTTGCTCCTGGTGCTGTGTCTGATTCAAAGCTGTTCAGTTCCTCCCCAAACCCAAGGCACACATGAAATGAAGGAAYGACAGGAAAAAGGCCACGTCACAGCAATTACTGTGATATGGTCTGTTATTCCCTTTCTTGCTCTGTATTTGAGGCTCAATGTTAATTTGCTTGCATAACTCAAGGTGTTTCCTCTGCTTGTTTGTACTAGCTATGATTTCTAAACATCCTTGAAATTATTGGCCATAACATCTCTCCTCATCATGATATTGCTTCAACTTGAGCCACTTATAGAAAGTGCTTCTTTCCACTTTTGAACAGAAAYGGCTGGGAGCCAGAAAAATATGTATTTATTTGCCACACTATTTTTAGTTAGAAATTGCTGGAAGCCAGTAGGTGGGTTTTTATTTTCTTTTTTAAGTTTTTATTTTCAARCTAAGACAAATATTATGTATGAGGAGTGGCACATATCTTAAATAACTGGTTCTAGTAACAGGAAAAAGTTCTTGTTAGAAATTCTTCTGAAGTGTGGCTCTATTTCTGGAAATCCTTTCCTGCTTGCTTCAGCGGAGTCTTGTATCCTCTATCCTCTCCCATATTCCTCAATGATTCTTTCACATGGAAAGGGGTGAGTTTTATAGGAACTTTGCTGGCACTAAAACACTGGAATTTTTCATTGGTCTTGTACACTGCACCAATTCATCATCGGCCCATTCTCCCAACCGAAGGAAAGTTGCGCAGGGATTTGACAAGCGCTTGTGTTAACCAAAATAAATCACCTAAATGGGCACCTGCTGTATCCAAACCTGGTGTGTCTGTGGAAAATAGAATCTGTGGTTGGACTGTGCAATTTTTGGTCTCCAGAAAGCAAAATATCAATTCATTGTAAAATGAGTAGTCCAGTAGAAGGTCTCATCCCATTCAGGAGAACCAGAARATTATCTAATTTTTATTCCCAGAAGATGCTGGGAATTACTCAACCAAAGCAGAAATTCWAATCCTATAGATTTCTTTCAGAGTAGAGACCAAAATGAACAAAAATAATCTACTCCAAATTTTATTTATTTATTTATTCYCTCTGTGCTTTCTCAAAAAACCCAAAACCCCTCAATCCCACCGAAATCTGAAGCCCATTCCAACCAAACAAAGAGCAACCTTCTGGCCACATCCGTGAGCTTTATTCTATTTATTTCATAAAAATAAGCTTGGATAGCTTTGAGTTAATATTACTTACTGTTTGTTGATTTCTAAATCAGTAAAAATCAGGTCATGACATAGGATTATCTTTGGAAAAGTTTGGTGGGATTTTTTTAGGGGTTGGAAAGAGTTGGGGGGCAGAGTTAGAATAAAATGATTTAAAGCATTTTTTTTACTTTACTACCGAGATTTATGTTATATGAAAATTTAATACTGTATTTAAGTACACAAAACTTTCTCTCTTTACAGCTTTTCCACTAAGCTTTGAAACCATTCATGGAAGCTGATGGCAATGTTCTCGTAAGTATRACTGAAGATATGCCAGAGTTATTGATCATCTGAAGAGGTGATATGTTGGGATTGTATCCTTGTYGGCACAGAAGGCCATGAACAGCATAAAAGAACAGAACATGTGAACAGCATCAAYATCCAAACAAGATCTTTCTCATGGGCCAGGCCAAGGCTGCCCCAGTTCTGCTCCAAGGATAAAACAAAGTCTCCTGCATGTACCTGATGCCAGGGGTGCCCACACTTCCAAATCTTACCCCTCAATGGATGAGAAAACAATAACCTAAAACACATGAGCTCAGTAAAGAATTTTCTTAGCCACACATGTGTCTAACCTTTAAGAAGTTTAAAGAAAATACAGCTCTGTAGAATACAACTGTTGTTTATAGCTGCTATCAGTGCCTTCTCAGACTCATGCATTTGAGTCAAACTTCATGAGACAGAAAGCCCATATTTTAGTATCAGCCCAATTCTCTTGTTTTTCCATGGAGACCTTTTGTTTTTTTTTTTCTTTTCCCTGAAACAGCCTCATATACCTATCTCCCCCCATTTTTTATTCCTAGGGAATTTGCAAGCTGCAAACCCCTCAGTCTCTAGGCAGAATCATCCCCTGGAGCGATCTTTGGCTGTTCCTGGCAAGGATGCCTGGAGCCTTTGATGCAGCTCCCTCTGATTAGGAAGGGTCAAGAGCCCTTTAACTGGGCTGGGAGGGACCTGCACTGAGTGCAGCCAACAGAGCCATCASTTTGTGCAGCAGGGTGTGAAGAAGGAGTGAAATAAGGGGGTTTCAGTAGAAACTGTGCTGCTGTTGCAGTCTTGGGTGCRGTGGTAACAGGGCAGGTTCCCCAGAAGATGTAGAAGCAGCTGTCCCTGCCAGGGCAGAGACTTCCACAGAGTGTCTGCACCCCTCCAAGTGCCAGAGCTCAGGGCATGTCAGGGACCTCTCCCTGAGGCCAAGGGAGATGTCTCTTGGCCCTGCAGAAGGAGCTGTGCTGGCAAGAGGAGGAGGTTTGGAGGCTGAGTGCAGAGTGTGCAGCATCAGAGAAAGCGGAAGGGAGAGAAATGGGGGCTTCTCTGACACACAACAGCTTGAAGAGCATCAGTCCCCACCTGCTCAGTGAAATGAAAAAGCTGTTTGGAAATGGTCCTGGAAAACCAGTTGCAGGTGGGGAGTGGACCTAGATTACCTCCTGAAATCCCTTCAATCTTAATCCTAGTGTGATTCTGTGGAAAAATAAGACATCTAAACTGGCAGAAGTCTTTGCTGAAGTTGTCAGTTCTCTCATTTGTTTTTGCCTATCACTGGAGTCTGCCTGGCCCAGAAGTGGATRTGAACAATGCACAGTGGAACAGGTTCCTTTGCAACTCACTCATGGTGTGTTTTTCCAGTAGAGGAATAAGGGATAGCAAGTTTGAAGTCTGTGTTGTTCTGCAGGATCACTATCCCATTCTGTTCAGTCCTTACTATACCAAAGCCTACCAAAAAAATTAAAACCTACTCTCTGTTGCCAGTCTTGCACAAAATTGTATGTTTTGAAGTTATACAAGAGCTTTCTCAAAACTGTTGTTCTCAGATTTTCCCTAGTAAAAAGAAGACATAGAAATACATCTGATATTCTTGTTTTGCTGTTCAGTTGAACCTGTGATAATTAAATAAATCACCTGCTATTAGGGAATTAAAAATTATAGAAAAATATCCACCACCATCAGAAGCAAAATTACAACATTTGGTTTAGTTTCAGATTGTTCCAGTGACTATGTATGCCTGTTACAGTACATTCACATCTGAAACTGCTGTTATGCCCCTGGTTTTATTGGCAACAGCTCTGTCTTCCATAGTTTTGTCTTTGTTCTGCAATGGTAAGAATCTCTGTAAGACGGAAACAAAAGTATCTCTTAACCAATCTTTAGCCAGGTCCACTGAAATAAAAGATTATTGACTTTTATAAAACAGTTTTCAGCAAATGAAACTTTAATTTACTTCTTGAGAAAAGGTTTGCCRCTGGAGACTTGCTAATGTGTTGTATTTTCATGGAAAATTGAATCCAAACTATGCTGGTGAGGCATTTTATGAATTTTGTGGTAAATTCATTTAAATGTGGGTTTTCTATTGGTTTGTGATGAAAAYAGTTTTGATGAAAACAGTTTTACTGAAAACTGTTTGTTTTATAAAATATCTATCTGACTCCAAACAGTGTGCTTTGGAGAAAGAGGTTGTTTTTATTTGTTTATAGATCAACAAAATTTGAGAAGGCAATTTTGTGAATCATGCCAGATTTTATTGCTGCATTTGGGGATTTGAGCTCTCTCTTGTGTGGAACAGAGCACATATTTTTTATAGGAGGAAGCTGGGTTTCTGAACAACACTAAAACACAACTAAAAGTTGCAGAATTGCAGGMTTAGTACTAATCTGCTGAAAATTTACCTCAGTTTTCAGGAATACTTGGAAAGATAATGAGAAATGTATCTTAATTCAAAAATTTCATTCAGCTGTTATTTTGATAGAGATTTACCACTAATTTTATCAGGTAAACTAAATACAGTGCTGGCTGGGGAAGCTGCTCTTCCTTCTACCAATAATTTCCCAACTCYGCCAACAATATATGAAGGAAAGAGGGTTGGTTCATCACCCCTRTCAACTTACAGCAGGATGCCATCATTGCTGCAAAATAATACATGTACGTTTGTAAATGCTTTTAGCAAAAATCAGTTTTCTCCTCAGTCTGATCAAAGTGAGCCCGAAAAGATGATTTATGTAATATTGGTATTTACTCTTGACAGATGAGCAACAGACCATGYTATTTTGCTTTAGATCATCAACAAATTTAGTGGAAAGATTGCTTCCTCCTCAGCTGTGTAGAGAGAGCCACATCCTGTCTCAGTACTGCTCTTCTTGTGTGACTTTCTGTTTGTTAGAGATGAAACTACCGCAACACAGCAGCGTGGCAAAGATGTGATGTTGCTTGACTATATAGGTTAGGGCCAGGAAACCTGGTTTATTTTTGTTTGTCTTAATATCCTTTTGGATAGCTGTAAAGGAAAGTAATTAGATTGTGTGACCCATTGATTCCCTGAGGGCATATTTTATTTCCATGTGTCCTAAATGGAACTTTCTTTGGAATGAAGACATGAAGGGTGGCCTATGTAGGATGGGGAAATAGCAGAGTCTCTGATAGAGCTGATGTGTTTTCTTACTGCTTTTCTTTGTGTGTTGTCATGGAGAATAGTCTGAGAGAGAGAGGCAGTGGTAGAATTAAAAAAAAAATCAAGGGGAAAAAAGGAAAAAAAAAAAAAAGTTCAGTGATTAAGCAGGAGTCTGGGGTTATTCATGCCAGGTAAAGCCTCCCACAAGAGTGCTGTTCAGGTCATGTCAAATAGGCACCAGATAAGCACAGGACTGCGATTCATGGTTCTGTGCTCTGCGATACACTCTGCAGAGATCGCTGCTTGAGAAAGTTGTGGCTCTTGTAAATGTTGGGGCCAGCGGTCTGTTCTGACATCATTATTTGCAGGAGGTCTAGCTTTACTCACCTTTAATTTGCCTGTGAGAAGGGCCATCARGTGATGTGAAATGGGGTTTTGCTTTCCTGAGAAGCTGCTGGCAAGGCAGAGGGGCTGCATTAGGGATGTTTGTAGTGTAGCTCTGCAGCGGATCAGGTAGCTACCAGCTTTGCATAGCAACGTTGTGGCCAGCATATTAAATCATATGTCACTATCCAGCATTTGTCATCCAGAGGCTTCAAACCCTTCCTAAAAATAGAAAAAGGTGAATGCTTTAGTTCCCACACTAAAGATGGAAAGGTTGAGGCAAAGAGAAGTCAAGTACTTTGTCTGCAATCACTCAACTAGCCAGCCTGTCTGGGGAGAATTTACTCCAAAAGCCATCTCTTCCATTTTCAATTACATCCTTTTTTGTTCTGTGTCTTCTCTTTTAGTTTCATTTTCTATGTGTTCATGCAGGATGAAATATGTAGATTGCAAATGAGTAAATTCAATTGTGTTATTTTTGCAGTGAATAAAATTTCCATATATTTTGTGTGATTTTTTTTTTTCTTAAGAATTATTATGAAACTCTTTCATAGGAAAAAATACATGTCCTGCATTAAATAAAAAAAGGCAAATGTGAAGACCTTTTTTTTCTTTTTCAGGATTTCTTAGAATGAGTTAAATGACTATCAGTCACCTAGCATGTAGTTTAATCATCTCCCCATGTTTGTAAATCCCCCTCGTGTAGTGCAGCAAAGCATTAAAATACTGGAGTTTTAACTTCTATTTTTTAACTTCAAAACACAGAGTACAAATCAGGCAGGCACAGCAAAGTAGAAGCTGCCTGTGGATGTGAAACAGGAAGCACTAGTAGATAGACACATGTAAAGTGTTGCGTTTGCTCTTGCTCAACCAGCTATGCATCAATTTTAATTAACACGTTTTGTGCTTCAGCTGCTAACGTCCCTTCAGCAGTGAGTGGGTTATGCGTTTCCATCCTGCATATACCACCAGCATCACCACCACGTCCTTCTCCAGCTTCCCCCTCCCCTTTCTACACAAATGTTGCAACACAATCTGAAATTTCCTCTTTTCTTTCCTTCCTGCATTTCTTACAGGTTCCTTTGCGTCAGAAGGCAAGAAAGAAAAGTCAAGGTAATGAGAGATTGTTTTTTCTTTTCTCTCCTGGATTCCTCTTTTGTTATTTTCTTAGTATGTCTTATTCTTGGGAGGGTGAGGATTTTRTGCTGCTACTCAGCTGCTGAAAAGCTGCTTTTTAACTCCACTGATTCTGAGAAAAATGACATCGGGCTGTTCCTTTGGACTAAATCCTTGTGGTATGTTAATTGAGTCAAAGCTGGAAATCAGTGAGGTAGAATCAGCTGCCTGCACAGACATACACACTAGTGGTTTTCATGTACTTGGCATAATAGTTTTCTCTAGCTGACTTAAATAGATGTATCCTTTTCAGTGCAGCTGTGTGAGGGAAAATATATGCATGCTTCTCTTAAAGGGATCAAAGGCTGTTTTTTTAATTTACAAAAACTCGTGTATGGTTATCTTAGCATTAATTAGTATCTGCATTATCTGGAGCTTACTATGTTTTTGAACATCAGCATGCCTTTCAAATGTGTGTTACTGTCACTGCCATTATAAAACTGAAAGACTTCTGAGTRTATTTTAAGATATGCTTGGATGACTTGCTGAGAATGCTAAGTAAGGGTRATATCTTTAATTGGCAGCAACATCTTTCCTGGTAATGCACTTTTGAGCAAGCACAACACTGTATTTTTAATGGCACAGGGTTCTTTATAATGAGCCGCCGGAGGATATCGTGCAAAGAGCTGGGGCAAGCCGATTGCCAAGGATGGCTCTACAAAAAGAAGGAAAAAGGAGCTTTCATTGGCAACAAATGGAAAAAGTTCTGGTGTGTGCTAAAGGAGTCATCGCTGTATTGGTACAGCAGYCAGCTGGTGAGTACAGAGAGCATCCAGCTCCAGGTGCCACACAAACAGCATCTGCTGGGACTGAGAGAAGGGGAGCTGGGGTCACAATCTGGATGCACGCTGGAGGAGTGCAGATGACTGGGTTTATTTCTCAGCCCTAACATTTCTTGTGATCTGGGAAGTGTCTCTATGAATGTGAAATATGCAGAAAAAAAGTGTTTTCTATTTCAGTGAGTACTTGTGAAATGTGAACTTGCTGTCTGTTTTGCCCTGCAAAGAGCTGTTCTTTGAAGGCTCTGGTGGCATTTGAATTTGAAAAATATTTTCCTGGGTATGGGCAATTTGCAAACACTTGTTACCAAGAATCAAAACAGGAATGTTAGTTCACTTCTTGTTAATATAATTTTAAGAAATGTTTCCCCTGTTTTTCTCTCCATCTCCTTCCACACTGAGATTACTCTGTTTAATTGTCTGCTTGATTTCTTTTTCTTTTTTTTT